GAACCGGGGCCCTCTGGCGTCCCAAGCCAGTTCTTAACCCATCGCGCCACTCGGCTGGCCCCCTTCACATCAGTTTTTTATGATGGAGTGAGATGATAAAACGAAAGCGTATTCATGATAGTTCCTTCTCATTCCTCAGCTTGCATGGATTCCAGTCTATGGAATAAAATGCATTGGGTTTTTGTAGCTGATAGCAGGATACTCAAATTACTTGTACTGAAAAGCAAAGTAGGTTACTGAATGCTGAAGAGTAGGCATATAAAGACTTGGGATAATATAATGATAAACAGTTCAGCAATTGTTTGCCATAAGCTAAAGGATAGTCTTTAGCTAGATTTCACTTTTTTAGATGTAGACACCCATAACATAGATGGTTAGTATTCCCCAATTAATTAATTACAAGAGCTGCTAGATACATACAATTGGGTTGTTAGGAAAGTCATGACACATTTTTGCAATGAAAAACAGAAAAAAATACTTCAGTACTTTTCCGACAACTCAATATAAGCTATATAACAGTTTATTATTTTTTAGCTGAGTCATCCTGCCACCTGTTGGCAGCTCAGTGGCAGCTCAGCTCAAGCCAGGACTCGAACCGCTGTTGCTCAGAGCTCAAACTCTTGAGCGAGCTCTTAACCAACTGAGCCACTCGGCCAGCCATTGTATAACACAGTTTAGATTTACTATGTACATAATTTATGGTGTCTGAATGACTCTCAGTATAAAATAAAGAATTGTGAGGGTTTTCTCAGGCAGAAAGTCGCTTCTTGAAGGAAATAGATTTTCTGTATACTTGGAGACAACATGGTTTAATGATAATTTTACAGATGAAAAGGAATGAGAAAAGACAATGTGTAGGGTAAGAATTTGAGAGAGGAAGTAACTAGGTGAATGAGTGGATATAGGAAAAGAAAATATGTTTTATATATGTTGTAAATACTGTCTCTCCCTTTTAACAATGGGAGCATTTTATATGCTGGTAGAATGTTCCACATATTTCTACTTGTCGAATTTGAGTGTCAGCCTTGCTTTGATTTATCAATCTTGGGCCACACAGCTTCTTTAGCAGAGTTGCCATGGGAACTGTAGATTAACTAGCTGAAACCCCTGACTAGAGTAGAATTTGAAGGGAAATCGATGGTCTACGGCAGGGGTGGGCAAACTGACCTGTAGGCCAAACCTGGCCAAAAGCTGTTTTTGTAAATAAAGTTTTATTGGAACACAGCCACACATAGTCACTTAACTAATGCGTATGGCTGCTTTTGAACAACAGTTGCAGAGTTGAATACTTGTGACATTGACCAGTATAATCTACAAAGCCTAAACTATTTATTATGTTTTTGACCCTTTAAAGTTTTCTGACCCCTGCTCTATGGCCTTGCTACTCAAAATGTGGCCCTTGGACCAGCAGTATGAGCCTCACAGGGGGTCTTGTTGGACATGCAGAATTGGGGGCTCCAGACTTAGAAATTAGGTATCCGCCTGGAACCCAGGTGGATTCATATGCACAGTAGTTTGACAGGAACCCAAGGACAGGATCAGGGTATATACAGAGGGTGCCAAAAAAATGTATACACATTTTAAGAAAGGAAAAAATTAAAATTATAAGTATATACTCATAACAAAAGATGAATTTGTTATAAGTCATGTTTGACTTCTGCAGTTACAAGAGGTGCTCAAAGTGGTTACCATCAGTGTCCAGACACTTCTGATTACGGTGAACTACTGCTTGAGTAACGTTGACCAAAGTGTCCACTTGTATACATTTTCTTTGGCACCCCCAGTGTATCCCATCTAGAGGGTTTGGGTTAGACAGTGCCTGCTGACTTTTGCATTTTTCTTTAGATATGAGCACAGCAAGCCATTGAAACAGGAAGAAACGACTGCTACAGATCTCACTGCAAAGGCATCCCTGGCTGCTTCCTCAAGTCTCTCCTCTGCAGTTGGACCGACTGTGGAAATGAATACGGGAGAGGCCGAGTCAAGAAATTCAAACTTTGCAACTGTAGGAGCAGGCTCAGAAGACTGGGTGAATGCCATTGAGTTTGTTCCTGGGCAGCCCTACTGCGGCCGGAGTGAGTATTTGGAAGAATAAAAACAAGTTGGAGGGCTAGACAGTAGGTCGTCCGTTAGGTGAGCTTTCACCACCTTCCTGCCTCCAGTCTTCAGTTAGCCTAATCTTAATACTCTAAATTGGATTACCTGAGACTTAACAGGTGGAGTGCAAAACTTCCTGAATCCCAATAGTAATGAATTTAGTGTTTTTGAAAACCTGAAGCCAGTTGCACAAGGAATACATAAAAGGCTTTTTTTTTTTTTTTTAACAAGCCTAATCTTGGAAATACCAGCATTAAGAAAAGCTCATTTCTTTCAAGAGCAAGGAAATTAGTTCAATAGACTGTTTTGGAGTTTAATTGAAGTTCTTTTCAGTTAGCGTCTCAGTTACCTTAGAGTGTATCTGCCTTATCCATTTTGTACCTTTACCACCCTCCTGAACATTTTCAGCGGCCCCTTCCTGCACTGAAGCACCCCTGCAGGGCTCAGTGACCAAGGAAGACCTCGAGAAGGAGCAAAGCGCAGTGGAAACGAAGCAGCAGCTTTGCCCATACGCCGCGGTGGGCGAGTGCCGATACGGGGAGAACTGTGTGTATCTCCACGGAGACTCCTGTGACATGTGTGGGCTGCAGGTCCTGCACCCAGTGGACGCGGCCCAGAGATCACAGCATATAAAAGTAAGTCTTTAGCAGATACCATGTTCATGGGTGTGAGGACTAGATTTGCCCTTTCCCGATGCGGCCAGTTCATTTCAGAGAGCCCTTTGGTGAACTGAGTGGTTATCAGTAAGTAGTTAGGATGTTTGCTTACCTGGGCTTATCAAGAAATCATGCTTTCAGAACCTCAGACTTCTTATTTTTTTATTTTATTTTTTTAAGTAACAGCTTTCCTAAGATGCACATTTTATTGGTTTGTAATGTATTTACAGGGTTGTGCAATCATTACCACTGTACTACCTAATTTTAGGACATTTTCATCATCCTGGCAAGAAACTTGATCCATTTGCTCCATCATGTTCCCTTCGCCAGCCCCTGGCAACAACTAATCTACTTTCTGTCTTCACGATTTGCCTATTCTGGACATTTCATGTGAATGGAATCATCTATGTGGCCTTTTGTAGACTGGCTAAAACATTAGCATAATATTCTCAGATTCATTTGTGTTGTAGTGTGAATCAGTCCTTCATTCTTTTTATGGCTGAGTAATCCACTGTATGACTAGACCACAGTTTGTTTTTTTATTCGTTATTTGGACATTTGGATTGTTTTACCTTTTGGCTCTGAATAATGCCATGAACGTTCATGTGTAAATTTTTGTGGACATGTGTTTTACTTGATCCTGGAGTAGAGTTGCTGGGTCATATGGTAACTGGCAAGTTGCTCTTTCCATCATGGCTGCACCATTTGACATTCCCAACAGCAACAGGTGACGGTTTCAGGTTATGGTTTTGTACCATGAAGTTTTTTGTTGAGAAGACATTGTATTAACCTTTTATTTATTGGAGCTAATTATCTCCAGTAAAAAGTTAATTGTGTTGTTGGGGGTTGACTCATGGTATGAGATAGACATAATTTGAATCCTGTCTTCACAGCGTATTGGAGTAGTGCCTACCTCTGAAGATTGTTTAAAAGACGGTTTAGGATAAAGATAAAATATACTACAATGTGATGTGGGATTATGAGTGACTTTTCTATTGCTTTTTTGCATTTCCTATAAATTAGCATGTTTCTTATAGATTATAAAATGTGTAGTATAATGCTGTCACTTATACCTGAATTAAAATAAAAAGTATGTGATGTCCACAAAAATTTGTACATGAGCGTTTATAGCAACATTATTTATAATAGCCCCAAAGTGGAAACCACCAAAATGCCCATCACCTGTTGAATGGATAAATAAATTGTGGTCTATCTACGCAATGAAATATTACTCAGCAATAAAAAAAATACCAGTACATTCTACTACATAGATAACCTTGAAAATGTGCTGAGTGAACAAAGCCAGTCACAAAAGGTTACATATTTATATGAAATGTCCTGAATAAGCAAATCTACAGATTAGTAGTTGCTTAGGATTGGGGGGGGGTGTTCAGGGGGAAATAAGTGACTACTATGGTATGGGATTTCATGTTGGGGTGACGGTTGCACAATTTCTGTGCGCACACCAAAAACCATTTAATTTTACACTTTAATTGAATGCATTATATGGTATGTAAATTATCTCTTCAATGAAGCTGTTTTTTTTAATGTGAAAATTATGTGCCTGACACATAATTGTCACCTAATAAACGTTGGTATCCTTCACTGTTATTTTCTGACAGGTTGTAAATTAGGGGCTTAATCCTCATTGCATTTTCCATCTAGAAACCAGAAAATCAACAAACTTAGTGTGAAAAATTGTCCTCAGTGAGAATAACAGCGGGGGGGGGGGTGGTCTGCGGGATACAGAAACCTTCTGTAGAGAAAATGGGGTAATTTTTCAGTTCCTGAAGTTGAGTCCTCATAGTGTGACTTTATGTAAAGTCCCAACATGTCGGCACACCTGTATTCACTTGGGGACAGCTGCTTATAATGAGTTGGGAGTATCACCTTTTTTAGCCTACCGTTTGGCTCTCTGAACATGAGTCATTAACTGTCAGGTGGAAGCCTTGTCTTGTCCAGTGACTTGATTGCCTTTCTTATCTCTACCTTTCGCAGTCTTGCATTGAGGCCCACGAGAAGGACATGGAGCTGTCGTTTGCTGTCCAGCGCAGCAAGGACATGGTGTGTGGCATCTGCATGGAGGTGGTCTACGAGAAAGCCAACCCTAGCGAGCGCCGCTTTGGGATCCTGTCCAACTGCAGCCACACCTACTGTCTCAAGTGTATTCGCAAGTGGAGGAGTGCTAAGCAATTTGAGAGCAAGATCATAAAGTGAGGCTCCTCCCCAACCTTCGTTTGTGCTTTCTATTTTGGGGAAGAATTTAGTATCTTGTGCCAACTTTCAACCAGACGGACCGCATTTAAATGCATGCATTTTATCTTGAAACTGGGGTATTCTTCTAATTGGGATTTCTTTGTATTTCAGCTAGCTTCTAGGTTAGTTGGTATATCTTTCATTTGAATGAGGAAACCCTATGTATCAGTAGAATCTTCGTGCTTTTTCTGAGGAGATTGTGTTTAATGGATTAGCCAGTTTAGGCTCAGTGAACAAACTTATCTAGCTCTGAATGTATGTTTCCTGAAGTTTTACATTTTCCACTTTCCTATTCCATCCATTAAGCTAGCCAATAATCCACCATCGTTTAAAAGATTGTTCTCATAACTGAACAAAAACGGCATAACCTAAACAGAGCAAAGTTACAAGAAATAAATTTATTTCAACGAAAGAAAAAGGAGTCTGTGTGAAATGTCTTCTTTTGTTTTTTGTTTTTGTTTTTGTTTTTTTACCTAAGTTATTTATTTTTTTAATGAACTTGGCTAGCCATTGAGTTGAATTTATAAAGGAGCTTGTCTTGCCTCCCGAGAGACGGCCAGCTGTGTGACAGTGTGTGGCGCCCTTTCAGGACATGCCCCCCCCCACTTGCCTTTCAGTTAAGTCTGTAAGCCTGGAGCTGACACACCAGGGTGTGTTCTTGAAGCCGCGTGGGCCGGGGAAGGGGAATTTGCATTGCAGCCTGTTCATTGTTTCCCAGGTCCTGCCCCGAATGCCGGATCACATCTAACTTTGTCATTCCAAGTGAGTACTGGGTGGAAGAGAAAGAAGAGAAGCAGAAACTCATTCAGAAATACAAGGAGGCCATGAGGTATGAGCGCTGCAGCCTTCCCTCACGCTGAGGTCCCAGCGCAGCGTGGGTTCACGTTGAAAAGGACAGTGCTGCACTGTGTACTCCTACCTCCTTCCTACCCTTTCTTAACTTCCCAGTACAGTGTATTTTGTCACCCCTGGTAATGCGTGCCCGTTCTGTGTCCTGCTGCGTAACACCGTCCTTGGGCCCTGTGCCTGGGGACTGTGTTATCATGGAGCCTATACTGCTGAGAGTTGAAGCCCGTGACTGGGCCTCTACCTTATGCTGAGTCCATGTTACAGTTGTCCTGTATGCTTGTGTGTGGGCTTCTAGGTTTGCTCTGCTGGACCTGCGGTACTAGAGCTGCTAAACAGCGTAGAATCGAACCGAGTGCCTGTTTCTCATTAGTGTTTCATGCGGTAGCGCACACGTGTTTAAGAACACACCTCGGGGAGGGCTGTAAGCTGACACACTGGTTCTCTCCCTACCTGTTTAAAGAAACCCTGGATGATAGTCGAATACAGACCTGAAATCCACTGTGAATAAGGGCTGCGCTGTTTTCCTTTCCAGCGACAAGGCGTGCAGGTATTTTGATGAAGGACGTGGGAGCTGCCCATTTGGAGGGAACTGTTTTTACAAGCATGCCTACCCCGATGGCCGTAGAGAGGAGCCACAGAGACAGAAAGTGGGAACATCAAGCAGATACCGGGTAACTCTCACTTTTTTTAAAAGGGGGAAGTGACACGCTCGCAGTTGAGCCCTGCACACATTGGGGTAGGGGAAGGAAATGATGGGAGCGAGACTAGCCTATTAAAGGAGGAAAGCAACCTCAGAGAACTGGGAGGGGTAGGAAAGGAAAAAAAATAGAATGCTTAAAGGCTCTAGGCTAAACGGTTTGCATCACGTAACCGGAGGGGAGGAATTGATTGGTAAAGTGGAACCCCTAAATGAGAAGTCTGGTTCGTCATGCCCTCTGATGTGCTGGACGTTTTGCCTTAGAAACAAGAGACTAGAAGATGCCACTCGACAGTGCCACCCCTATCATGGCCTTGTTTTTTACAGGCCCAACGAAGGAACCACTTCTGGGAGCTCATTGAGGAAAGAGAGAACAGCAACCCCTTTGCCAACGACGAAGAAGAGGTGGTCACCTTTGAGCTGGGCGAGATGTTGCTTATGCTTTTGGCTGCAGGTGGGGACGACGACCTGACAGACTCTGAAGACGAGTGGGACTTGTTTCATGATGAGCTGGAAGATTTTTATGACTTGGATCTATAGCAGCTTGGCGTGGCGTGGGAACTGGTCTGCTGAGCCTCAGACAAGAGCTGTGCCCTGTGGTGGGGTGACAGTGCCCGTGTTTCTCTCCTAGGCAGGCCTGTCAACTCCAGGTGCTGTCGGAATAACTTTTACCCAGGGCCTGTCTTCTCAATAATCCCTCACCTATCCCCACAGAGTGAGTTGTTTTCTCTGTTTAAAAAAGTTACAAAAATAAATCTTAAAGTTAGTTTTGTTTTTTTTTGTAACATGAGCTTAACTGTCAGACAGTTAGTGTAGGTTTGTTGCGTCATCATCTGTTTTTCAACGCGATTCACACAGTTCTAGGGTAGGGTTTATGGACTTGCCACACTCGTTTTGCGGACCCAGACTCACAAGTAACAGCGCTGGCCCTGCTTTGAGGTCCAAGGAGAGGTGTGATGGGTGAAGGATCTGAACTGGGGCAAGTAGCCCTCCTGCAACTGAAACTTGAGGTTTCTGCTGAAATCTGCACATCTGTGTTTTTATCTGTTCCCCACCCTGTAACCCCCACCCCGTGCTCTTGTTCTGTGGTTTTGGTCTCTTGTTTAATTGCACAGGAGTAATGCTACTGGGTAACCAGATGCGAATGTGCTGAGATTTTTACTGTATTTAGTGTGATAGGAATATTGTGAAAGAACACACATAAAAGATAGAGTGGCATAAAAGACATGCAGGAGCTGGACGTTGACCCGCAGGGCTGATAGACGTGGCTTGTGTGAGTGTTGAGTGTGTGATAAGCTCATTTCTGCATAGGTGCTGCGTTCGTAGCCTTAGTGGGAAGACAGTGGTTTAGTCGTTTCAGCCTAGTGTGGCAAATAGATCTTCCAGGACAAAGCAGTATGTTGGTAGCTGTTACTAGAGCAGTGCTAGCGCTGTCTATATAAATAGAGAAATGGGTTTAGCCATAGAGCTGAAAACTGGTTATCCCATATATTAACACAAACTGGGTCTTGGATACACAGTTGTATTTAATGTTTAATGATCTCCTAGCCCTCCTATCCAGGCACTTTCTGACAAGCCTTCACCCTCCTCTGAGGGGTTTTGCTGTTGGGGTTTTGTGTTCGTTTTTGTGGGTGTTTGCCTCATTCCATCCCTGAGCTTTGCAGGTAGACAGGTGTAATTCAAAACTATGTTCTAAGGTGTTTCTTGTAGTGGGGTCTTTGGTTTGCAGTAATAAGTCACGCTTTCTTACTAAAGGGGGGGAGGGGTGGTAGTCCACGAGACAAGTTGTTAGAAGGATTTCCTGATCGGAAAGTTTTAGCTTTGCATTTTGTTGCTCTATCTCCTGAAAAAAACTTGGAGATGCTCCTGAGTTGTCCATCTACTGCTTTGATTCCTTGGATCCCACCCAGTCTTTCATTTTAAGAGAAAGCAAGTCATGGTTACAGAGGTCTCTGTATTTTGCAGCTGCCCTTTTGTAAGAAGCACTTTTCCCAAATAAAACAATAAAAACAACCCCATGAGTTGTCTTCCTCTTTTGTGTAATATGTTGTTTGAAATATGCTTAACGTTTATTTCTTTCATTGACTCTTTGATCAGTGCATCAATTAGTCAAATTTCTGTGGCTATAGCTTCATTGAGAAAAGTGACACCTTTCCTAAGACAGCTAGCCTGCTGAGAAATGTGTGAGAGATAAAGAGGGAAACCTTACCAGCTGGGATCATCAAAACTTCTGCATTAGAATTTGCAAGACTGACCCTTAGGCCACATTTCTCAGCCAAAGGCACTGGTAGTGTGCTGCTGCCACACACTGGTACTTGAACCTCCTCCATGCCCGCAGGTAACAGGTAGGTTACAACATACAGTAGTTTGAAAAGTATTTTTCTTCCTGATTCTGTGAATTTTACTAATGAAATAACCATGTGGCTGCTCCTATGGGAGAATTTGGGTGACCTTTTGCAGTGCTTACTGCATTTTAGTTTTAATATCTGTTTATGAATTTATGCTGTTGAAAATGTTTGCACAACTAGGAGTTGTGTGTATTGTGACTTAACTGTAGTCATGGTTAACAGCCGTAGGTCCACTGAGTAGTCATTCTGTAAGCTCATGTACCAGCTGCTCCCTTCCGGAAACTTCAGAAGTCCACTTTCAGCTGCCACGGGTGAGGCCTTGCTGGGGACCCGAGTTGGGGAGAGACTTAAAAGCCTCCCTTTTTTGGTGTCTGGAAAGTAGGAAGAGGCTCATGGGTAGCTGGCCTGTTGGCATAGCTGACTCACCAGCAGGGAGAATAGAATGGTCCAGGCGGGACCAGGTGGTGATAAGAGCTTCTGGGGTTTAGGTAGGTTTGTGTTGGGAGCAGCTCTGCTTGCAGTGGAAAGGCAGTGGAAGCCCACGCGTTAGCCAAATCCTGTCAAAGATTTGGGGAAGGGAGGAGGTATGATATTGGTAAAGGTATTCGTAGTCATCGTTACAAGCCCCTCGAACTTTCTTAAGCTGATGAAAGTGAGCACAAGTGACATGTAGCAATTCCAGACGAAAGTTTTAAGAAGCAGTCAGGGACTTAACCTCATTTTCCCCTTTTCCATGGCAACTGACCATTTCTGAGAAGGTGGCTGTTCCACCAGCCTGGGCTCACAGGGTGAGGCCAGGTGGGGTGCAGGACACTCCACTGACCACTGAGGGACATGAACTAAACCGTCGGGTGAAAAGCCGCTGAGACTGGATCTTTCTGTTGTCACAGCATAACAAACTAAATACCAATATGTATCTAAAATAGTGAATTTTTATAATTTTCAGGCTCCTCTCGTCAAGGTAATAAATTGTATTGAACAAATTATGGTTTTAAATCACTATGGTATACAGTAGTAGGAAAAACATTACAAACTACTGGCTTTTGGCCTACCCTTTGATATTACTAAGGGAAATATGTATTTTCTATAAGAGTGAGACTTTGCTATAGTTTTTAAATATGTGAGCAAGTCTTTAGTTAAACAGTTGTAAATAGGAAAGCTGGATGATAAGTTTTTAATCAGCTCTCAAACACTAGCAGCAGTTTCTGAGGTTTTTTTTTTTAAACCTGGGTTTCATAGGCTTGAGCAGCAAATGGATTTATCCCTTAAAGAACTTTAAAAAACAGGAAATCCTTTGTAAGTTATATCTGAAGTGATTAGCACAGTATCACTGTCCCCTACAATGGTTATGTGTTATTGCTTTCCACAGCCTCTAAGACTTATTTCACAAACATGTAAACAGGCTTACATTTTAGATAAAAGAAAAGTGCTTTGTAGCAAATCATTTTAACAAAAGTGCTTATTTCTTTGTACTCAATGACAGGAAAAGATCCTTTGCTGATGATAGAAAATACCCAAGGTCTTACTTCAGCAGAATTCACCAGGTCTTTATTGCAGCTCCCTTATCAGTGCACAGAAGAGACGCACCACGTGGTACCCAAATAAATGAAGCACTTTTAGGTTCCAGTGATGCACTTCGTTTCCTTGAAATCAAAAGCTTACTTCCCTCAATAAACACTTAGAAGTCGGCTCCCACAAGACTGTACGGACTCCTGTCAGCAGTGAACATAATCTAAAACGTAAGACTGAATTTCTAAGGAAAAGGTTTGTTTAAAGTAAGACTCATTTCCGATGATGAATTTGCCCTCTTAATAAGGGCTTGTTTTTACTGAACGTATATACAGGTGCCCTAACTCACGTTCTTCCCTTGCCTTTGCCTTCTGTGTTGAAACTTCACGGACAACGTTTTTAATAAGATGAAGACAACCATTTGTTTCATTACAGATATTTGAGTCTGCCAGGCACTGTGCCAGCACTGGAGATGCTGTGAGCACGAATGTGGCAGAAACTGTCATCAAAACAGTCCATGTGAGCCCCTCCATTTCCCAGAATTCTTTGCCCTTAAGTTGCTGTCATGTGACCCACTCAGCCCTCCTGCTGCCTGCCTCCTTCATCCCTCCTGCCTTGGAGAAGTTGGAACCCACACACTGAATCTGCAGTTACAGGGTGGAGGGGTCTCGATCGTGATTTAAAAATAACTACCATTTATTGAGTACATACAATGTACCAAGCTCTGTAATCATCGTTTTGTAGTTCTCATTGTGTCCTTATAGCAAGCTGAGGTAAGTCGTATCTGGTTTATGATGGAGACTGAAGTCATTTGCCTGGAGTTTTCACAGCTAATAAACTGGAGCTGACTTCAAACCTGCGTCCCTCTGATTAGAGGCCAGACTCTAGTAGACTGCCTGGTGCAGTGGGCTTCATTCATCCTCATGGTTCTACCAAAAGTACGTTGCCAAGGGCCACCAGTGGCGCTCCTGCCAAAATCAGGTATTGCAGGAAACTTTCATTTCCTTGGCTTATAGCAATTGGCACAACTGATCACTATTTCCCCCATTTTTTTTTTTTAATTGGGAACATTTTTCAGGACCCATCAGCTCTAAGTCAAGTAGTTGTTTCAATCTAGTTGTGGAGGGCGCAGCTCAGTGGCCCATGTGGGGATTGAACCGGCAACCTTGGTGTTATGAGCACTGCGCTCTAACCAACTGAGCCAACCGGCTGCCCCCTATTTTCCCCAATCTTGAGTGTTCTCTTATACAAATGTTTCTCAAACTGTTCATGGTCAAGGACCAGTTGTCTTCTACTTTTTATTTCCAGTCCATCATGGGCCAATACTCTTGAGAAAGACTAGAACAATGACCTGAAAAACAGCCTTCTTAGTACAATCCCAAGATTGTGATTGGATTTGCATATTGTTACAATGCAGTGCTCCCTTAGCCACAGGCCAGCATAGTGTGCAGACCACTTCTTCAGCATCGTTGGTTGTCACCGCCTTTCTGATTTCTTCTGAAGTGCTGGCTCCTCCTCCTGTTCCCCCTCATTATGGGCATTACTTAAAGTCCCATCTGGGCTGTTCTCTGTCCTCACCCCTGCTTACAATTCATCCCACCAACAAACTTGGAGCAATTTCCATACGTAAGTCACTTTTGCAGGGATACAAAACTAATTACAACAAAGCACCTGCCATAAAGGAAGTTACAGGTCTAGTGGAGAAGCTCAAGGGAGGTACACGTGGCTGGGTGTGATAGTCACCAAAACTAACAGTCTTAGGACATCACCTTTTCCTCTCAGCCCTGGCCTTTTATCTGGTACTAGTCCAGCATCTCTTAACGGCTTGCTAGATACCTTCTCTGGGATACCCCAACTCTCACTTCATCCTCAGTTTTCTAAAACTGAAAACCATGCTTTGCTCAGATTTGACCCAACCTCTTGGCTTCATGCGTTTCTACCAACAGCGTCATATAACTCCCTTTCTCAAGGTCCTTAGGGACATTTCGCTATCTAGAAGAGCGGGATCAAATCCGTGAGCCTGTTCTGTGCTCTTAAGAAGGACCCACATGCCCCCATGACATCCCAGCACACCTTCCTCAGCCTAAAGCACTGGGCTTGTTCCTGCTGTGCTTTCTGTTCACATACAGCCCCCTTTGTCCAGGGCCCGTTGAGGTCCTGAATCCCCCAAGACATTTTACCACATCACTTTAGCCAGCCCTAGCATTTTTTTCCTGCCTTGAACTACCGTGTTACACTTTATTCTGGCCATTAGCCATGCAACATTATTTCACTTTAAATGCGAAAACTTGGTTCCTGCTAAACATTGGGTCCTTTTAGGTCAGGAAACTTTCTGATACTTTTTTTAACCCCACATCCCTTAGGACAAATACAGTAATGCTTAAGTGGAGCTCAAGGTAAACAGCCTGCATTTGATTAGCAAAAACTCCCCAAAAGCCGCGGGGCTTCTTTGGCATTTCCACTTCTGCTTTCAGTCTCTGTGGTCAGCTGCCACGAAGGCTTTGGGTGCTGAGCCTGGAGAGCTGGAAGGAACAATAGATCAGTTTTGTCCATGATGCCCGAGTCAGTCTGTGAACTGGCTTGTGAGAATCACCTTGGGCTTTGAAGGGACTTGTGAAAAGTACACATAGATCCTATTCCAGACCTGCTGAAGCATAGCTCTGGGGCTGGGGCCTGGGAATCTGCACATTGAGTGAGCGCTGTGGCCCATCCAATGCACAACCAGGATACAGACGCGTCCCCTGGTCCAGCTGCCTCTCTTTTCAGTTGAGAATGCAAAAGCCCCCGCAAAGTGGAAATGACCTGGCAGGTTCATATTGTAAAGGGCCAGGGCAGGACTTAAACGCTGTAAGGAGCTACCTAACAGCTACATCCTGTGCATGTCATTTTTATTTATGTTGGAACATTGCTGAATTTTAGGGGCTTAGAAATAGACACTCAAGTGTAGACAGGCGAGTACAACCCAAACACATGCTCTGATAGGGTGAATGCCTGTATTCTGTGCCCTAAAAAAATTACTGGTTTGGTCTTTTTTTGTGTCATCAATTTTATTTTTGCAATTGGAACTATGTTTCTAGATTAGATGAGAAGGTTTCAGGCTGCTGTCTGCAAGCAACTTTTTAAAATGTTAACACCTTTTGTGTAGATAATCCTTATTTCCAGTAAGTGAAAAAATTAATAATTGTAGATATAATCATTACTCTATGGCCTCTTATTATATTTACTTATTTATTTTTTAGCTGAGCCATCCTACCACCTGTTGGCAGCTCAGCAGCAGCTCAGCTCAGGCCGGGAATCGAACCAGCAACCCTTGTTGCTCAGAGCTTGGACTCTTGAGTGAGCTCTTAACCAACTGAGCCACTGGGCCAGCCCATCTATGGCCTCTTGGTCTTTCAAGTTCTAGTAACATCTTGACACTATAAGACTAAGTAAATGCAAGTGATGGTAAGTAAACTGATCATCAGTAAGTGCAATTTATATGTCAGGTGAAGAGCGATCTCCGATGGTTTTGTAGAATTGCCTCCTATTCTGTGCTCTACTTCCACTTCATTCCTGGTGCTTCCAGTGTAGAGCAATTATTTGGGGGTATATATGAAACAATGTACGGGTAAGACTAAAACGAAACTATGATGTCTAAACCACCTTAGCAGCTAGCCATATTTTGCTGAAGGGTGAACCAGCTACGTGAATCTCGAGCATGGGTACGTGTTCAATGATATTTCTGAAAACGAAAAATGGAAGCAGGCACTATTAGTGCCCTTGATGATACGAGTCCCCAGAGCCTTTTCTCCATCATGTGGAGGTTTGCAAACGACTGGCAGGGCCAGCTCATCTCCTCCCTGCTGAACTCACCTTGGTATTGGGATGGCTCAGCTTCTGGCTGACAGCTCTCAGCCTGGTTTGCCTTGGGTCACCCATACAACCTTGACGTGAGTGAACCCGAATTTCCACATCATCCCTGTTCCACAGGAAGTGGACTCAGGCTGAGCCTGGCGCGTCTCAGGCACAGCTCCTCCATACTCCCCTGCAGTCAGGTAGAACTAGCCTGGTCCACCCCACCAGCTACCCTGTCTCTACCCCTGCCCGTCCCCACTGCGTCCTCCCGCCTTGGGCTTTGATGATGACATGTATGTGTGAGAGTAGGTCTTGGAATGAGTATATTTCTCTTTGTGTGCGTGTGTGTGGAGGATGATGAGAGGGTAATAAGGTGGAGCCCAAATTGGACACTGGTTATTGTCTGAGCGGGACTAGACAGCATAACTGTGAAGAGTGGGCTCTGGAACTGGGATGTTTGGGTTTGCATCCCAACTCTGCCACTCGCTATCTGTGTGGCCTTAGTCTCTCTGGGTCTTGTATCCTCATTTTAAAAATAGGAATTTTAAACAGTACCTACTCCAAAGATGCCTGATGGGATTCATTGAGTTAGTATAAAGAAAGTCTCTGGTCCAGTGCTGGGCATGTAGTACTTGCTGTATGTGTTTGCCGTCATTAATAACTATTGTAGTAATAATATTCCTATTACTACTAATAGACCTTTTTAGTAATAGAGTGGTGGAAGAGGTTCAGGAACAATCTATGAAATATTAACTGAAAGATTTTCTCACACAGGGAAATGGACTTGACATGGGCAGGCATTTAGAATCTTTTTATTTTTCCAAAGTGTCCCTTTTGGAACTTAATTTCACATAAGTCACTTATTACCAACCATACAATTAGGATGATGTGAGGAAAATGCCCGAATTCAGTTAATAGGCAGCCTTCCCCGACCAGAGCTGTAAAGAGCCTACCTGAACCAGTGTCACAGCACTGGTGACTAGAGGGCTCAGCCTCAGAAAATCCTGTGCCTGTTTCTCAAACAGGCCTTTGGGGGCGCTAGTCCACCGAAGCCTCTGCACTCTGGAGGCCCTCCCGTCCCTTTCAAGTGGACCTGAGGGTTTTGGTCTTGGCACTGTACTCTCCACAGAAGCCCAGGCTTCGTCACGGGTTGTTGGGGTTCAGGTGACCTTGTTCTCACTTGCCTAACCTGTTGGTAGGAGTGTTTAATTCCAGATAATCCCCAGAGTGCGTAATCCTAGAAGCTGATGAGGTTTGCAGAGTATTGGTTGTGCAGAGAAATGATGGAAAATTGGTGTGAGCCATGAATCTCACCTGCTCAGCCTGTTTTCTCTGCTCACTCTCTCCCCTGACTTCCTCAGTTTTCCTTTCCCTTCGTAATGACTGTTTGCTTGTTGCCTCCCCTGAAAACTGCGCAGTGGCTCGGTACAGACTTCCTGAACAGCCCTGTGAGCTCCTGCCTCCTTGTCACCCTCCAGAACAATAACATGCTTGTGAAAAAGGCTCACCTGCTTGAATGCCTTTCTTTCTGGCATATAACTCAATTTCCCTCATATTTTCCGAAAGGTCGCTTGTTCATTTTAACAGTGAATGCATATGGAAATGAATTAACATGCCCTTAATTCTCTGATCTTGCTCCCACCCTCACCTAACCTCGGTGTCGTCATGGTTAAGTTTCAATGTGGAGAAGAATCACCGGGCAAGAACCTTGGAAGAAGTGTGGATTTCTGAAAACATCCTGATTCAGTCAGTCAGGCATGGGTCCCAGGAGTCTGTGACAAGCATCCCCTGACCCCTCGCAAATGTATGGTTGGCGAACTCCACTGTGAGAACCATCGCTCTGTTATACTGTCCAATACATAAATGGTGTGAGCAGTATAGGTAATTTCTAATTTTAGAGTAGCCACATTTAAAAGGTAAAACAAAGGTGAAATCTTAATGTATTTTATTTAACCTAGTTTATCTAAAATAACATTTCAACATACAATCAATATAAAAATTATCAGGAAGATACAACTTTTTTTTTTGGTACTGTCTTTAACATCTGGTGTGTGTTTTATACTTACAGCTCATCTCAAATTTGAATTAGCACATTTCAAGTTCTCAAGCCACACTGGCTTACAGGTCTCAGAGGCCTAAGATTCAAGGCCTAAGCATGGTGATGCTATCAGCTAGAAATGCCTGGGGCCACTCACCTGGGCCAGAGGAGAGCCCACAGACATTCCCTGTTTGGAGCCACTGTTGTCACTAGACCAGCCCTTGTGGTTCTCATTTATTGCAAGACACACCTCAACAACAACCACGAGGAAACTGAAAAAAACACGGTGTATTACCCTCAGGTCCTGGACCGTCAGTGGCGCACTCGGCCACACAGCGATGTCACTTGGTTTGCTAGTCATCTATCTATAAGCCAATTTAACTTCAATTCTGAAATGACTTTGACCCACCACCTAATTGGGTGTTTTAGGAACAAACTGTAGGTAGGCATCTCCCACATCCTAGGAGGGTGGTCAATTCAACCCAGGTAGGATAAAGTGAAATCCAATGCTCTCCATCACATGGCCCCTGACCCTTTGGCAAGTCGGTATTTATGTCAAATGGCTTTGCTCCCCAAACTAAAGCCCTGAGGTGTGAATGTCAGGAGCCACATGTCAACAGCATTCTGCTATCACTGCAGGCTTCCCCTTCCCCCCCCATGCCCAAGCCATTTAAAATATTCCAGAATGTTCCAAACACCCCCCCCTTTGATATTCCCTTTTCTTTATACTTTTACTACCCTCCTTTTTAAGCGAGAAACAAAATTCAGCAGAAACACAGTTGAAGGGTTGGGGAGACAGACAAGTCTGAATAGATGAAAAAGAGCAAACCTCCCCCCCGCTACCTCTGCCTTAAGTCCAGGGCAAAATCAAGAAAGACAGCGGTGTCCCCTGTCCTTGGTTACGGCCTCTGGAGTGAATGGAGGCAGCTGTGCTGCCCATCCAGGCGGGAAGGATTGAGGACTCGTGACCAGTCTACACTTGGGTCTGAAATGCTACGCAGCACACACTAGGATATCCGGCTTCCTTTGGTTTCAGAGATGGCCTCGGGTGGGTGCAGCTGGCTTCGGGGACATATTCAGCAAGTGCAGTGGGTCTTTTCACTCGGCCCCTGGGCCACAAGAACTGGACTGGAGTCCAGGGGGAGGTGATTCTGGGCACACTCTCCGTACAGGTGGAGGCTGTTGCGGGCAATCAGCTCTCTGGCCATGAGCACGAAGACTTCATCGATGTTCTTGGACTCTTTGGCAGATGTCTCCAGAACCGCGAGGAGGCCGTACTTCTCGGCCAGCGTGCAGGCATCCTCAAACAGGACGTGCCGTTTTTCCCACAGATCACATTTGTTCCCTGCAAGCGAGAGGTAAGCAAATATTCCGTTGAGTAACTTAGCCCAGTTTAAAAAAAAAATGAACTTTTAAAAAGAACGTTTTAGCTTAGCAACATTTGCAAGCATGCATTGATTTGCAAATAGCAACTGAGGGCAAAGATACTGAAAATGAAAGCATGGATGAATGGAAACAGTGCTACTATCCTAATTCACTGTTCACTAAAGACCTTCAAGAGCTGCAAGGAATGGGCCAGAGCTGTTTTATTAGTATTAATTTATTTGTTGGGGAGCACAGTGGTTTTCCAGGACCCATCAGCTCCAAGTCAAGTAGTTGTTTCAATCTAGTTGTGGAGAGTGTGGGGATCGAACCGGCAACCTTGGTGTTATGAGCACTGCGCTCTAACCAACTGAGCTAACTGGCCGCCCTGTGTGTTTTATTATTGACTGGGACAGGTTGGAGCCTCTGTGTTCTTGGGAGGGACCGTCATTCCTCCTAAGTCTGACAAGATATAGACTGTGCTAGACTGACTTTCTCAGCCTTCTCTCATTTTCTTTCAGACCTTGTTCCTCTTTTTGCTTTTTTCCCCCCAGCTACAAAGTGTTGGACACTGTGAGATGGGGCCAGGTATAGCTGATGAGATTGTGATCCGGATTTCCTGGGTTGGGGCTGTGGAATGAATAATGAAGGACTTTTTTTTTTTTTTAAGCTATAATTTACAGATAATAAAATGCACAGACTTTACGTTCAAGGAGTTTGGACAAATGTATATGCAAGTGGTGCGAGAGTATCTACCAGAGTAAGACCATTGCAAGGCCATGCAGTTCTGCTCCCAGGTACGTACCCAACAGAAATATGTGCCCACATGCATTAGTAAACATATACAAGAATGTTCAGAGTGGTAATTTTCCTGATTGCTCAAACAACTCAAGTGTCCAACAGAAAGGAGAAGTGCTATGTAGTGTAGTCATACAAATGAATATTATACAAATTGTGCAAAAGGATGAATTACAGCTACACACAACAATGTGGATGCAACCCAACAACGTAATGTTGAGGGAAAGAAGCTTAGACAAAAAAGACATTTGTATGGTTTCATCTATATAAAGTTCAGAAACAATAGCATAATAGAAGTGCAGCATTTGGGGTGTGGGGTTAGGTGGTAAAATGATAAAGAAAAGGGGGTAATTACCATAAAAGTCCTAATGTACCTTTGGGGGAGAAAGAGAGGAGGTAACTGAGGGGGACAGGAAAGGGGGCTTGCAGGGAGGGTGCTGGCAGGATTCTTTCTTGACCCAGGTGGCATTCCCTTTGTGATAAATCAGTGTTTGCATACTTTTCTTTGCACATGCTAATATGTCCCAATAAAAAAAAACTGGAAAAATACTTTCTGAGCATCAGTCACCAACCTGCTCATTGAAAAAGCTAGATTTAGATCATACTTCTCCCCAAAGAAGGTTAAACCCAAGAGTCTTTTCAGGGGACATTACCCCATCTGGTTCTGTGGTAGGCTGAGAAAATGGACGCTACCACACCAGGTTCTAATCCCTGACAACTGTCAGTGTTACCTTATTTGGAAAAAAGGTCTTTGCAGATGTGATGAAGTTAAGGGCCGGATTCACTGGGTGGCCCCTAAATGTGATCACGTGCAGCCTTATCAGAGGGAGACCTGACTGCGACACAGAGGAAGTGATGTAAAGGCGAGGCAGCCACGAACCACAGAATGCTAACAGTCAGCGAGGAGCTGGAGGGAGGCAAGGAACAGATTGTGCCCCGGAGCCTCTAGACCAGCGGTTCTCAACCTTCCTAATGCCGCAACCCCTTAATATAGTTCCTCATGTTGTGGTGACCCCCCCAACCATAAAATTATTTTTGTTGCTACTCTATAACTGTAATTTTGCTACTGTTATGAATCGTAATGTAAATATCTTTTTGTTTTCCGATGGTCTTAGGCGACCCCTGTGAAAGGGTCGTTCGACCCCCAAAGGGGTCGCGACCCATAGGTTGAGAACCGCTGCTCTAGAGGGAGTATGGTCCTGCTGACACCTTGATTTTAACCCTGTGATACCGATTTCACATTGCTGGCCTCCAGAACTGAGAAAGGACATTTCTGTTGTTCTAAGGCACTCAGTTTATGGTAACTTGTTACAACCACCACAGGAAGCTCATTCAGGTATGTACCTTCAAGAAAACGATGTGCATTTTTATAGCTTTTGAGGTTTAAGCTCTGGGCATAGTTCTGCTTCCAGAAGACAGGTGTGGGAGTTCCCGCTGAGCCAGGAGTCTGGGCTCCCTTCTGCACCCCTCACCCTGACCTGTGGCTTCTGGGCTGGGTCACACTGATTCTGACCTTTATGACCTGCTTGTCCCTCCCGCCCCGATGCTACACCTGCACTGACTGTCCACTGTCCTGCCTCCCAGCGGCTGGTGACTGCACACCTCGGAGAGCCCGGACACCTGGTGGGAGGGAAGGAAGCCACGTGTGTGCTCCTGAAACGTGAGTCATCTTTTGCTAAGTGTTGTGTGGGCACCCGGAGATGACGGGCCCTGCCCCAAAGGAAGGGAGCTCATCTTGTTAGGGAGGGGAGCGAGACACAGATGCTGAAAGAGCTATACAAGAATTGACTGATCCAACACAGGCCACGAAATAACACATCCTAAGGATCAGGTCCAAGTTGGTAGAGGTACAGGTATGCCATCCCTTCCCCACATTTCCCCAATCCGAAAAACTCTGAAACCCCTGAGCTTTTTTGGCAATTCATCTGATAGTAAAATCTGCCCTTAACTAGCCATTAGGAGTTTTTACTGCTTTGTATTAAGACTGTTCATACATTTCACTGCACAATTGATGATGCATTTGACCATGGGGTGTTGGCCCAGACCCTGCCAAGAGTGTTAGGTAATATAGAATGTACCCTCTAAAATCTGACAAATTCTGAACTCTGAAATCTTTGGCCTTAAGGGTTTTTTTTTCACTCAGAGATTGTGGACCTGTACAAATAACAAGAGTTTAAGTCAAAGGTTTGCCTGAGATCCTAAGGGGACAAATATCAGACGCTGAATAGAGTCGTGAGACAGAACATCCAGTATAACCCACAGAAGGAAGTTTCCTCCTAAACCCTTTCCCTGATGGAGAGTAGGAAGAGTTAAGAGATCAGGGACAAGGGCCGGCCGAGTGGCTCAGTTGGTTAAGAGCTCGCTCAAGAGTTTGAGCTCTGAGCAACAGCGGTTCAATGCCCGGCCCAAGCTGAGCAGCCGCTGAGCTGCCAACAGGTGGCAGGATGGCTCAACTTAAAAAAAAAAAAAAATCAGGGACAAAGCAGAGGGGATGAGAAAAAGATAAGAAGCCAACTATCCCCAGGAGGAAAGCAAGCGCCTTGTAATTGTTCAGGAATTTGTGCGTTATCTTGAGGGTGATGGAGGACCCGAGAGGATTTTAAACAGAGGGACTTCCTGCAAATGGCTAGAGGAGGAGGAACAGTACAGATCAATGCAGTCGTCTCTTTGACATTTGTATGATGGTGAAGTGGCTGCGAGGGGCGGGGGTCAACTTGGAAGAGAGAAAGAGACAAACTTATGTGAAGAAATGTGGACACAGAATGGAAAATATAGTGAGAGGGGTGGGGACACTTCCATGAGGGAACAATACATTTGACTTTTCTAGATTAAGGCGAGGAGGCCACTGACAGAAAACAGAAAGCCTCATTGTGTCAACCCTCGGGATTAGACACGTCATAAATGGGGATACTGGGACCATGTCCAGATCACCTGTGGGGGCATTTCTAGCAGCCGGTTGGCTCACTTGGTTAGAGTGCAGGCTCATAACACCAAGGTTGCCAGTTCCCTTCCCACATGGGCCACTGAGCTGCACCCTCCACAGCTAGATTGAAACAACTACTTGACTTGGAGCTGATGGGTCCTGGAAAAACACACTGTTCCCCAATAAAATTTCTAAAAGAAGTGGGGCAGAGATGGTTGTTACAAAAGACAGAGTAGGGTGTAAATACCAAGAAAGCTGTGAGATTCCTGGAAACCCTGCAGTCTTGGCATTTATTACCCATCTGTTTCTGCAGCAGAGTCATTAATAGTTAAGGTCGGTGCTGGCTGGGCGAGAGCCTGCGAGGGAGGCTGGGAGTGGGAGAAAGGGCACTGCCTTCCAAAGATAGCTCTGAGGGGAGGGGACCCCGGGGGCAGGGCCGCTTTGCATGCAGGCTCCAGGCCCTGAGGAAGAACTGCTTCAGTGTTTCCTGGAAAGCGTGGGGTATCTACTGGAAAAGAGATCCAGTCCACGTTCCTGGGAAAACCGCAAGTGTGACCAGAACTGCTTCGTTCCCTCAGCGAGATGACGCATGTTATTCACACCTACTCTTCCTGTCTATGGGAGCTCTCATTAGTGGGGTTTCCTTCCGCCCCCCCCCGGGGGTCATGGATGTCCCTCCCTGTCCACTGCTCAGCTCCTCACCCAGTGGGCCTCTGAGCCCCTGGGCAGAGCATGGCAGCCTCTCTCATCTTCACTCTATTAGGAAATAACAACTTCCTTTTATGGAGTTCTTAGGACTGTGCTAAGTGCTTTGTATGTGTCACCTTACTTAATCCTTTCAACTCCACAATCCCTTTGAAGTAGGTACCAGTTTTATAGATGAGGAGGTAGAAATGTAGAGAGAGTCAGTGGCAACCCCAAGTTCAGACAGAAGGAGATTTGAACCCTAATCTTTCTGACCCTGAAGTCCAGGCACTAGAGTAGACACACATTGAGTAAATTAGAGCTTCCGGGGGGCCCTGAGTGACAACCCAGCCTAACCAGCCATTGGAAAACAGTTGGAAAGGAACTGAACCCACAGGGGACTCTGGACACCAGAAGGCCTGGTTCAAATCCTGCCTCACCTGTTAGCAGGTAACGAGGGCACCAAGTTGCTTGGCAGGACACTTAACCTCCAAATACCTTGGTGTTCTCATCTGGGGAGTGAGGATATTCAGCCCTGCTTCTTAGAATTGCTGAGAGGATTAAGTGACATGGCCCAGGAGAGGCCTCAGAACACTGCCTGGATCCCACTAGGTGTTTTAGTAAATGTCACCTGTCCCCAGCATCTTCCTGGCACCTTGGGGGTAGGGCCCTGCTGATCAGGAGCAGCTGTTGCGAAGGGTGTTGGAAACCTCAGCCAGATTCGTAGAAGTGGTTGCTGAGGAAGAAATACGGCTCTTTGGGGGGGTCACTGTTTCTTTGTATAACTTTGAACTCTGCAGTTAGAAGAAGCATTTTTTTATATCAGACGTCGCATCACAAAAGTTTCTGATCCCAGAGGGGACCTTTGGGTGAGAAGTGAAAGGAGAGAGAGGCATCTCATAACTCCCCGCAAAAAGATAAGTTTCTCTCCACATGGGAAGCTGCCTCCTGGCTTCACTCATCTCTCTTTTCTGGTTCCTGCCAGGTGGGACAAGATGCAGCCCCTCTGAAAAAATGAGATGACTAAACTTGAGGGGCCTTTGCTTTGGCAGTGGGCTGGGGGACCTGGGCTTTTGATCTGATGCAGCAGGAAGGGGGAGCCCAGCCTAGGCTCTGGAATGACTTTGATTCTTAGGAGCAACAGAATAAGTTCCAAAGCAGCACATGTCTTCAAGTCCGTATGCAAGATGGGGGCTCGACTACCAATCAAAACAGCAACGACTTAGGGGGGAAAAATGGTTCTAAAATAACAAGTTCTTTCTGGAGTCCTGATAGCAACAGTAAGTGGGCTATGTGTGCTAATGACCCCTTCTACAGCCCATCCGTGGCCAGGCTTTGCATCCTGTGACTGCCTCCTGCATCGGGGCTCAGCTGCTTGGTCCAGTCCAGCGCAGGCACCTTATTCCAGGAGCTGCCGTCCTTAGGTTGGCCAGTAGCCTGGGGTCAGCGTTGCCATGGAGAGACGGAGTGGGGATGAGATTCCCCTTCTGAGAAATGTGAGTTAGTGGATACTTAGAGAATGAAGGGGCCTGTGGAAGGGCAGGCTATGGGGGGTGATGCTTTGAGAGATTCAATGAGGGCGGATACAGTGGGGAGAGAGGGTGGCAGGCCTACATCATCCTGCGTGTGAGAATCAGTTCTGAGACAGAGGAAACAGATGTGCAACAGAGCGCAAGGAGGCCGGTTCACAGCGTCCAACCCTGAGAGGGGGATCCCCAAGTTCCTGCTTGTTGGTGGGTGGCCTGCTCTGGCTGGGGCTTGATTGCTGGCTTTCCCTAGGTCCCAGGGATGTGCTCCCTTACCATGGCCCCCCATTATTTGAGAAACATAAATGAGTTAGTTCTTTCAAAATGACAAACCTTCTAGAAAAAAACTCTTACCCTGTATTAACACACTTACAATGTGCCAGGCACTGCTAAGCAATTTGTATACATTATCTCATTAAATCTTTACAACCAGCCTAGCAAGTATTAGTCACATCTTATAGGTGAGGAAATTAAGGTGCAGAGGGTAACTGGCCACAGGGCTAGAATATGCTTCTCCATGGATAAATAACCCATTAAACACAGCGTGTTTAGCTGTTTCTCGGTCTGTGTATTTGTGTATGATTCTCTCTAGGATCCTGTTAAAATGAAGACTTTGATTCGGTACATCCAGGATGGGACCTGAGATCATGCACTTTTAATAAATAGACTCAAAAGCGGTGCTGATGCCACTGGTCCTCGGACCGCACTTTGAGTAGCAAGGGCCTAACCCAGTTTGCCAAAGTTAAGTGGCCACCTGGTAAACAGTAAGTATCCTCAGAAGGGAGGGAAAGGCAGCCTTGCTTACAAAGCTAAAGCTATGGAGAAGTGACAGAAACGTTGCCACTTTTCTGAATGTACAATAGGACCTCTCACATTTCATGTTGTGTAGTTGGAGTTGCTGTTAGCTTGGGTGCTGGTGTGTTAAGATTCACCTAGGCTCTTAACAGGTGTAAGAAGTCATTCGAGGGTGTCGTCAGTCACAGTCATCTAAGTGGCTCCCTCCGGGATTTGGAGCCATTTGACTGAACATCAGTCTACAGAGTACTTCCTGAGTGGTCTACACAGACGTGTGCAGTGAATCAGCTGGGGCGCCCCATGCATAGAAGTCTGGGCCCCATCCCAGGTCTCCAGAATGAGAAACTCTAGGGTGAGGCCTTGGAATCGGTATTCTTAAGTTCACCCCCTGCTCCTCCTCATTGTCAAGTGAACCTGATGGGAATTTCTGGACCAGACACTTTCTGAGGTCCTGTCCACCCCTGGTACTTTTTGTGGTTTTCAGAAACACGAAAAGCTGAGCATCAGCAGAGGGGGCCAGAAATACAGAGTTTAAACCACCCTTTGAAAACAACATACCGATCAGCATAATGACCAAGTTTGCCGCTCCGTATTTTTCTATCTCGTGAATCCAGTGAGGGACGGACTCGAAGGTGGATCGCCGGGTGAGGTCGTATGCGATGATGGCTGCGTGGGCACTGCGGTAGTAGCTTTGGGTGATGGTCCGGAAGCGCTCCTGGCCGGCGGTGTCCCACACCTGCATCTGGAGAAGGGCAGGAAAGGGGATGGCCCCAGGAGTCCCCATGCCTGCTCGGAACGTGCTCACTTACGTCGTCTGAAAAATGCATCTGCCTGGGTCTCACTTCTAGATACCCAGATATAGTAGGTCTGGACTGGGGCCCGCAAATCTATTTTTTGTTTCTCCCCAGGGTAAATTGGATGGGCTTTTGGGTTTGGGGACCCTCACCTCAGGGATGCTTGAGAGACGGGGACCCAACGTCCTGGGGTCTGGTGTTCTTTTGTCTTTTCGCCTCAGTCATCCCTTCATACAGATTTTGGGATTTCTCTTTTGAGCCTGCCCACTAATAGTAACACTCTCAAAGGTGATAGCGTTGGTGGAACTGTTTTAGTTTTAAAAGGAGCACTCAGCTGTTCATGTTTAGGAGTGTCCTCATAATCATACCTTCCAAATTACCATTCCAAGCAATGGCACTGATGTGTCCACCCTCCAACAGTGTCTCAGGGTATCTGTTCCTTCATACCCTCACATTATTTTCAAAATTTATTTTTTAAAGTTTGCAAACGGGCACAAAACTAGAGAGACTAGAACAATGAACCCTCCTATACCCATCATCCAGATTCAATAATTATTAAGATTTTTTGCCACTCTTGCTTCATCTAGTCGTTTCTGTTGATCTCTTTGAGGTAGTATTTAAAGCAAATCCCGGACGTTATGCCATTTCTTCCCTACTTACATTCATATACATCCCTAAAAAAATGGACATTTTCTTTCATAACCACAATGTCGTTATCACTGCTAATAAACTTCATTAACCCTTTAGTATCATTTAATACCCAGTCCATATAAAAATTTTTGTGATTGTCTCCAAAATGTCTTTTTACTATTAGTTTTATTTAATAAGGATCCCAAACAAGGTCTATTTATTACATTTTCAACAACTTTTTGATCTTTTCTAATCAAATGAGGGAAAAGATAGTATCTCACTTTTTTATTTCTTTAATTATGAGTGAGGATGAGCACCTTTAGCTCTTTATATAAATTTATGAGCTAGTTTTATAAAATTTGTGAAATAGCAGTTTTGTTCACTTTGAATCACCTACTTTTTGTATTTGGTTGTTGATCTTTTTCTTAGATATTTATCAGGGCTCTTTTCACATTAAAGAAATTAGCTCTTTGTCAAGTCCCATACTTGCAAATATTTCTTTCCAATTTGTCATTCATCTTTTGACTTGGTGTATGGTATTTTCGAATATGTAGAAATTTGACCTTTATATATATAGTTATCTATATGAGATAGTTAGATTGAGCAATACTTTTCTTTATGGCTTCTGGGTTCTGGACTTACTTAAAAGCTCAATTTCCTCATTCCACAATGATAAAAATAAGTACACCTATGTTTTTTTCCTGGTACTTTTACAATTGCATGTTTTATATTTAAGCATTTTATTCCTCAGGTATGTATTTCAGTGTCAGAGACCCTGGCTAAAAGAGGGGGAGCCAACCCCATGCCCCCCTGACCTTCACTTTTTTGCCATCGATCTCGAGGGAGCGTACGGTGAAGTCCACCCCTATCGTGTTCTGCTGTGTCTCTGTGTAGACCCCGGATTTGAAATGCTGCACCACACACGTCTTCCCCACGTTGGAGTCCCCGATAAGGATAATCTTGAACAGATAGTCAAAGTTCTCATCGGCTGCCCTGGCTGAGTTGGAGAATTGCATGGTTCTTGCCACCTAGAATGGAGCTAAGAAGGAAAGAAGGAATTCAGCATCTCTTTAGCGAGCACCTACCAGGAGCCAGGCACTGTTCTAGGCTCTTGGGGTCCAGGACAGAACAAGACAGGGAGATCATTACTTTCATAGCACTAACATCCTCATTGGAGAAGGACATTAATTACTGGTCAGGTGCAAGAGAGCTGCCACCCACAAGCCCACACCTGCCTTAAGTGGGTTGACACTTTAGGGGTGCCCTCAGAAGGAAGAGGTTCTACCACCATTCTCTGCTGTGCCCAGTACACAGTCAACACTGTCAGATGACAGCATTGATGGAAGCCCTTGTCATAGAGACCAGGGACCCCATGCTCCAGCGAGTGTCCAGACAGCAGGCAGATGGCAGAGGAGATGCCCACAGGAGTGTATTACCTGTCATTCATCAGTTGGAGGACATGCCTAGCTGTCATTCTGTCTCCATTTCACATGGGGAGAAGGACTCTCAACTACTGGAAGAGGGAACCATCAGGCAACCAGCAACAAGGACGGACAAGACTTGACTGACAAGAGGTCCGTTTAGAGAAGAGTGACATGGCCTTTTTTTCTGGCTAAAGATTACAGTGATTGTGTTGACCAATGTTCCCCAAACCTGGTCATCAGAATCACCTGGTGACTGTGTGCATGTGTGTGTGTTTGCATGTTTTAAAATATATTTAGCAGATCTGAGATGGGCTTCAGGAATATATATGTTAATAATAATTATCTCCCCAAATGATTCTGATATAATCGGTTAGTTTGGGAAACACTGTCAGTAGAAACTTGATTTTCCAGCCTATGGTAAAATATGCCATAAACATTCTAGCCAGTTTTTACTTTGAAGGTTCTCAAAATCTTAATTTCCTGGTCAAGAAAAATTCCTTTGATCAGGAAGAACTCACTACATCTTTCAAAAATCCATTTTGCACGCGCAGCTCTAACTTACATGGGGTTGAAATCTATCTCCCCAGGGTTCCATCTGAGGCCCCTCGTGCTATATGCCAGGTCTCAGCAGATTCCTATTCCACATGACAGGCCGTCAGCTATTTGGAGCAGCAAGCATATCCCCTGTGGGCAAATATCCCCAGGTTCTTCAACTGTTCTTCACAGGATATTGTGTTGGGTTTCTTCACCAAGCGTCTCAAAAAATACATGAAACCTAATCCCATTTGATGATTAAACGATGTGTGGCAAATTGCTCCTGCCGTATGATACCCGTCTTCATTTCCCCCAGTTTTAGTCTTTGGTTTTCTCTAAAGTCGGAGAACAGGACATCCAAATTGAAATGCACACAAATATCTAATCTGTATGTACGAACCCCGAGGTTTAAGTGGAGGAGGAAGGATTCTGTACCTCTCTTGGACACCTCTGAAATCACCTATGGCTAAATGATCCAGCAGACGCTATCAAACCATTTTTTTCCCCTCTGACTTTTCAAATGAAGAAAGCCATTCCACTTCCGGTGTCTTATCGCTATAACTTGAGCCGAAATCTTCCTTCCATGGTTCCTCCCCCACCAAGGAAGTCCTCAGGGTTTCCACAAATGCCCTCTTGAACTTAGCTTACATGCCCTGCAAGGAGAAACGCGCCGTGTGCACCCTCCGAGGCCCTCCATCCTGCATCCTGCAGCCCTCACCTTCCAGGTTCACCTGTTGCTTACCTCTGGCTCTCTCACCTCTGCAAACAGGTAAGGTTTTCTTTCTCTCCTTGTTTTCCTTTTCAGCCCTCAGTGCCCCTTCTTCCTGCTGCCTCACTGCGCGGTGGGAACTGTAGTTCTGTCCGCAGGTGTCAGGTTTGGCGGCCTGAGAAAGTGAAAGGAAAGCGAAGCCCTCCCACGGCCCCGGAGCTGGGAGCTGCCGTTGGGTACAAAGCACAGGTGAGGCGCTGGCCAGCACTGGCCGCGCACTCAGCTCTCCCTCCGAACATTCGTCACTTTGCAAAGCCAAATGAAAAGGACTAGCCAAGTTAACTCCGCCAGTACCTAGGAAGCCACCCGGTTCCTTCTTTCCACTCACCTTTTCTTACGCAGCCCTCGCTCCTGATTTTTGCTGGGGTTCCTTGTTTGGCTGGGGTGAGAGGTGGGAGCCCGTCGAGAAGACACAATTTAATGGCTACAAACCCGGGTCTTGAGTCATTTAATTGTTTTGTGGACTTGATAACTTTTTGATGAGCCACTGACAGAAAGGATGTGATGATCCAAAGAGGCGATTAAAAAACCGAAAGAACTTTGAATTTGCACAGGAAGAAAGCTGAAAACAAAAATCGGTTTCTCTCAATCTACCACAGAACAAAGGTTAGTTTCTTGATCAGAAAAAAAGAAAGAATTTATTAATCCCTGTTGCTGGCATTAGAAGCATAAAGCTGAGGTGAATTTTCCTTATTTTTCTTTTCTAGACTTTCCCTCAGAGTCTAGAAGAACCATTGCTTCTTATATCATGGGGACTAGATTTTCTCCACTATGTAGAATATACCATGCAGGCAGTTAAGCCATAGGCACAATATGCAAATAAGAAACATCCGGATTGATAAAATATTTAAATTGGTATCATGTTTTCAGACTGTGGGCTGAGACCTATTAATGAGTCATGAAATCAGTTTTAGTGGGTTGCAATCTGCATTTTTACAGAAAAGGTCAGGAAAAATTTCAGCATGTATCTCATGTAGTAAGGTCAGTACTGTTTTGTGAAATGTTCGGGTCAGTTGCACACATGCATGTGGAAACGGGGGTGATGTAAAATGTATTTCTTACTGTGGGTGGAGGTCTGAAAAGATTGAGAGACACTGAAAAACAGGACAATTTATTCACTATCCAGGAACATTTCTTTCTATGATTCCTTCAGATAACCTTTCAAATATAATTTATCTCACTCCACATTCCATTTACAGCTCAATTTTCAGGAACGTCTCTTTTGGGTAAGATAAACCCAAGGCTGGCAGGTAGAGCAAGAAAACAAAAGACACTGCCAAATGCCACTGCTGCAGACTTCTGCTTTGAGAGCCACAGTCATAGGTCTGCGGCTTGGAAATGAAATGTAGGTTAGGACCCACCACACACATGTACATGGGCAGGGGGCAGGAAATGAAGCCCGTTAGATGTCAATGAGCTAGACCTCAGATGTTTTCTTCTGGTAATAGTTACTGTTAAAGAAAAAATAGTCAGCTGCCTCAGACCCAGCACTTGGAGAACATCTAGACGTAGGGATCATGGTAAAATGTCTAGATGGTTATGGAAGCCAAGGAGAGGTTCTGCCTCCCCCTACCCTGACCCTCTCCACTAGTGACTGTAAGTGCAAAGAACATAGCTCGGGCTTTGGGGAAGAAGGCACTCTGGGTGGTAGTGATCAGGTTATACTATACACTTATTTTATATATACACACACACACATATATGTGTGTGTGTGTGTGTACATATACACATACTTCACTATATATTTAGTTTGCCATTTTATCCATTTTAAGTGTATAGTTCAGTAGCAGTAAACACGTTCACAGTGTTGTGCAACCCTCACCACCATCCATCTCCAGAACTTTCTTATTATCCCCAGCTGAAAATCTATATCCATTAAATAGTAACTCCCACTTTCCCTTCCCCCAGCCCCTGGTAACCACTATTCTACTTTCTGTATCCATGAATTTGATTACCCTGGATACCTCATATAAATGGAATCTATACCTATCTATCTATCTATCTATCTATCTATCTATCTATCTATCTATCTATCATCTATCTATCATCATCTATCATCTAGTGTGTGTGTGTGTGTGTGTGTGTGTGTGTGTGTGAGATTTCATTTAGTATAATATTTCCAAGGTTCATCCATGTTGCAGCATGTATCAGAATTTTATTCCTTTTTTTTCTTTTTTTAGCTGAGCCATCCTGCCACCTGTTGGCAGCTCAGCGGCTGCTCAGCTCGGGCTGACTCGAACCGCTGTTGCTCAGAGCTCAAACTCTTGAGCGAGCTCTTAACCAACTGAGCCACTCAGCCGGCCCTTTTATTCCTTTTTAAGGCTGAGTAATATCCCACAATGTATTTTTTAGGATAAAAGTGAAACCTTTGGCTGATTCATTGTTGCTCACCCTGATATCATATCTCCCCAGCTACATACACCCTTAGATGGCTGGAAACAAAACTGCAATACTGCATTGTGTAAATTCCCCTCCTTCCCTTTTCTTTCAAAATTTTTTTCTGTGTCCTTTTCAGATATATGTATATCATATTAATGCCTGAATCATCTGTGCCCAGTCTCACAGACGGGCCAAGACCTGGCAGCTATCACTGAAATGCAAACATGCAGGTAGATAGTGTCCCTATCTCCTCGTTCCTGTGGGAGCGTAGGAGCCTAATGTCCCAGGGTGCCTTGCTCCAGTATGCAAAATTACCTCCTGTCCTAAAGATATGAGAAGTTTGTTTCTCCTCTGGATAAGTTAGCACAGGTCGTCTCCCCAATTATTGTGATAAAGTTAGGATGAACTGTGTGTGACAAAATGTCCTGTCAAGCGATTTGAGGACTGGTGATTATCTTGAGAGCATGCTTGTAATTGGTTGCATGGGTTTGGTTGGCTATGAAAGGGGGAGATTCCTTTTTGTCTTTGCAGTAGTCTTTTAGCTGGTTTAAAGCTTATTCTATAATAAAACTGTTTTCTGAGATCCCTTTTGAATTCCTTTCAACTGAACATTACATCCCTCTTTGAATATCTAAAAGACTTTGTTTGAACATCTCTCAAAGTACAAATTCTGTTCTGCATATATTATTGTTACTTTATCTCACACCTCTTTTTGGATCTTAAACTTCGTGAGGGCAGGAACTGTTTTATCAATCTCTATTTCCTGAAGCACCATGGGAAAAGAGGGAAAAAGTGCTGAGAAAAGTGAGGCTGAACTGTAATCTGCCCCAGGTCACATAGCTACTTGAATGCCAGACCCCCGACTCAAAGCTAATGTTCTTTCCACCATACTGTTCCATGTCCCTTACCTTACATTCTTTATGATAATAAGTATTCAAGAAATCTGTAAAGTTGAAAAAAACCCAAAAACCCCGTTTTCATGTCTACGGCCTTTGTGGAGAGGTTTTCTGGGTTGGGAGAAGTTTCTATTTTTTAAATTTTATTATTTTTTAAAAAGATTTTTATTGGGGAATTGGGGGGATGGGAACAGCACTGGGGAATTGGGGGAAGGGGAATAGACAAGCTACTGTCGTTTTGTTCTTCAGTCTAATTGTGGAGGACGTTGCTTCACTGGCCCAAGTTGGCACCATCATTGCACTCTTCCTGGGCGAGGCAGATCAGTCGCCGGCTTCTGGACGGCTGCTCACTGCGGCTGCTGGCCGCTCACGCTGGCTGCTGGCTACACACGGTAGCCCATGGCAACCTACTGCAGCAGGGGCTGCAGCCTACGCCATCACCAGCAACTCACAGCAGCCCAGCTCCAGGTTGAGCTGCTGTTCAGCATCTTAGCTGTGGAGGGCAGTGTCACTGGCCCTCATATGTGGGATCTGAACCGGGGCCCTCTGGCGTCCCAAGCCAGCTCTTAATCTTCGCGCTACTAGGGCCCTAAACTTTATTTTTAAAATTGTTTCCTCAACAGTTGAAAGCAAGCCCAGGAGGGCAGAGGACCCTTGTTTAGTTTTGTGCTTTAAGGCCTTTGATTTTTGCTTGAGGCTGCCAGAATCTTAACCCTCATTTACGGGTGGCTGACATGGAATGTAGAACAGCGAATGACACTGGCAGACTAATGGCCCTGCCCATATGGGCAACTGTCGTTAATTAAACAGCAACCTGAAGCTTATACCCTCATGGCAGATCAGTAGCAGCACGTTACTTTGTGTGAAAACAAAGAGCAGAAAAAAGCTTTTTTGTAACAAGATGACCTGTACATCATTTCTCCTCATATTTCTCCCTCACTGCTTTTTTTCCTAACACTCCTGGCCAATATCCTCCCTGCCCCCGCCGCCCAGCAGCAGGGTCCACAGAGACCTCGGTCGACCGCTGGAAGCAGCCCCCGCCCACCTTGTCCCTCCGGCCCTCGCGGTAGGACTACAACTCCCAGCATGCTGCGGGGAACAGGCGCGGGTCACGTGGGCGCCCGGAAACCCTGGCCGCGGCGTCGGGGTTGAGGTGGCGGTGGAGGCGGCCAGCAGGCAGCGGAGCCCCGCTGAGTGATTGGAACGGCCAGCCAGAGAGCGGCGATCATTGCGGGTCTCGGGTGTGCACACCGCGGCCGTGGGGTCCGGGCCGAGAAGGGGCAGACTCCTTCCCGGACTGGGGCGGGAATGGGGGCGCCACACGGGAGAGCTGGTCCTAGGGGCTTCCAGGAGCCTGGAGGGCGAGGCGGCGATGCCGGTGGGTGTGGCGCGACGGCCAGGGCCGGCCGGCCGCAGGCTCCTTCCACCCCGGGTCGGGCTCGGCGGCCCCCAGGTGCTGCGGGGCCTTGGCGGGGCCGGCGAGGACCGCAGCCGGAGGAAGGCGGGGGGGAGGGGGAGGCGGTGGTTCCAGACGGGACTCGCCGGCCTGGTGGCTGGGGCTGCCGTGCAGGTTTGCACTGTAGTTGAGACCAGGTGAAGGGATACTTTCCAGGTAGCGTGGGGAAGCTTTTGGAAAGGACGTCCGGAGGCCTAAGAAGGAGAAGGGCGTTGGTGGAATAACGGGGCTTTGTTTTTTGGTAGCTCCCGAGGTCTCAGTCCAGGAATCTGGTCAAATTACTTTTCGCCATTCCCTCAGCGTTATTTGCAGAATGAGGTCTGTTTATTCTCACTTTTGACAGAGGAGAATGGGAATGTGTCCACGGGGCTTTTGGTGTTACCTGAAATATAAGCTTGTAGGTGATGTCATGCTAACTTTCACTGAAACCTTATTAGGAAGAAGCATATGTTCCTGGGCTGAGCAAATTGTGATTCTTTTTTTTTTTTTTTTACACTTAAAAAATTATCTTTATTTAGGTTTCTGGTTCAGCACACGTATCAAAGACCAAATTGTGATTCTTACTTGCCACCTTATTTCTTCAATGTCTTGGTGCTTGAATTCTTTCTTTCCCATTTGTTGGATGTTTACTGTGTGCCACGCTCTGTACTAGGAACTCTAGAGATTCTCTTTTTTTTTTTTTTTTTTTTTTAAATTTTTATTGGAGAATTGAGGGGATGGGAACAGTGCTGGGGAATTGGGGGAAGGGGAACAGACAAGTTGCTGTCCTTTTGTTCTTCAGTCTAGTTGTGGAGGACGTTGCTTCACTGGCCCAAGTTGGCACCATCATTGCACTCTTCCCAGGCCGAGGCAGATCAGTCGCCGGCTTCTGGACGTAGAGATTCTCTTAATTGGTCTGTAAATGAGGAGATTGAGGCCCAAAGAAGTTAAGTGGAGGGTTTTGGAGTCCAACTTGAACTTGAACGCCTTTTTGTGGGCCCCATGTGGCTTTAGATCACATCATTTTCCTGTCAATCTTTGATTTCCATCAGAAAATGACCCCAAAACAGTACTTTTATAACATTAAAGTCAGTGCAATGTCTTGTTGCTTTCTAGTTGTCAGGATCAACTGTATTATTGGACGCTCTGTTTTGTCCCTGTTTGCCAGGGATAATGGAATATCACAGCAATGACTACTAACTGGAGTATAAGGCCTTTGTCTAGGAGAGGGAAAGATTTTATCTTGAAAACGAGTTGTCTTTGGAATATGTTCAAAATAGGTAGGATGAGTGTGGTTTTGAGAACCCTGGAATAAGATGAGAGAATTTTACAGATAAGTGCTAGGTATTTTACATCTGTGGTGATGAAACAACTTAGGAGAAAAATTGCAGGAAGATATGAGTTTTGAATAAAAGGATTTATGTGCTACAAGTAAACGGCTTCAAATGAGAATGTGCGATAAAAAAGCACGTGTCTAAGTGTCGAGCATTGGGATGCTAAATTATAATAATAGGTGAACTCAGCTATCTGTTTGATACTTTTTCACCTACCTCTTTATACTTGAAATACACATAATCTTTATGCTTTGCAAACATGAACACTGAAGTCTGGGGAGTGAAGTAATTGCCCGTCTAATGCCCTTCTCATTTGAGTGTGGTGTATAAGAGAACTACTGTTACTAATAAAGTGCATTGTTTTTCCATCCTGGGTTTATATCTCTAAGTTTAAGGTGAGATATTTGTAATTACTGCGCTTTACCCAACTTGGGATATTTTGTATTTAAATCTTTTTCTCTTATACAGTATAGCCTAGGGGCTAAGGTTTGAACGTTCACTTCATCTCTTAAGAGAAAGATATTACTTCTAAAATCTGTTTCCTCATCTGTAAGATGTGAGAACTAAATGCAGCTATACCTGGCAGATACCTAGCACAGTGCTCGGCCCTTTGCAAGCATTCAGTGTTGGCCATCAGTCAAAGAATTCATCACTCAGAACATCTTTATTGATCATTCTGAATGCTCTCGTAGGTGCTAGGGATATAGCTGTGGATTAACACAGGTGAAGCCGCTTCTTTTATGGAGCTCACAGATGAACAGTAAACATATAAGCAATTAAACTAGATTGGGAGAAATGCTATGAAGGGAAGAAACAGAGGGAGAAATGAGAGAGGTGGTAACTGAGGGAGACCATTTAAATAGGGCGATCCGGGCAGGTCACCCTAGAGGATGACATTTGAGGACAAGCCAAGAAAGGGAAAGAGCAGGCGGTTTGCACAGAACCAGGAGAGAAGCATTTCAGGCAGCGGAACAGCAAATGCAAAGGGCTCCGTGGGTTCAGGGACAAGAAGGGGATGATTAGGTGTGGGGAGATTGTGGTGAGGGTGAGGACAGGGTGCAAGTGGAGTAGGAAGGAAACGTCCCATATCCTCACCGTGTCTACTGGCAAAGGATGGGGAACCAGCCAGATGCCCAGTAGGAGACTGGATTACGGCAGCTCTGTAGGTGATGATGTGGACAGACCCCCAACCTCTGATAAGTGGAGGGAAAAAATGGTGCAGAACAGGGTGTGTCATATGCTCATTTGTGTACGTGTGAGTTTGAGGGGCTGCACCTGGAATGTGCGCAGCCTGGAATGGACTGTTGGGACCCTGGAGCGTGTGAGTTAGAGCTGTAGATCGCGGAGTCCTTGGCAGAAAGCCGGCGTACTACATGAAGGAGAGCGAGAGAGATGTTGGAAGTTGAAAGAGGGAAGTGTGAAATACTTGTCTTAGAGGTTGAGCAAGCAAAATGATTAGGGAAGTGCAGGCTTGCCGGACAGTGTTGCATGCCCTTTGTGGTTTGTGGTTTTGAATCTAAAAAGTGAGACCGGTCTGTGTGTGTGATTTTCCTCTCGCAAAACTCAGACTGCTTGGGCGCAGGGAAGGAGGACAGAGGCAAGCAAGAAAAAAGTCCCATAAGGGAGATAGCTTAGGTTCTAAGTGGGTACTGAAGGAAATGAGGACAAGGGGAGGATAATGGATAATGGAAAAAAATGGTGATGTGACCTAATTGGGAGCCTTGCTGAGGTAAAATGACTGTTGGAGTGGGGAGTGTGAAAGTAAGCAGTTTTCTGGAAGGAAAGGATGTTTGGGATTCATTCTGGGGAGGTGATTCAGTTACTGGTCATAACAGGGAGTGTTTTTTAAAAGATTTTATTGGGGAATGGGGGAAGGGGAACAGCCAAGTTGTTGTCCTTCAATCTTAGTTATGGAGGGCGCAGCTAGCTCAGCTGCAAGTCCAGTCGCCGTCTGGCTACCTATCAGCAGCTTATGGCCACTCAGCTCAAGGAGCCGTGTTCAATCTTAGTTGTGGGTGGGCATAGCCCACCATCCCATGCGGGAGTCGATCAGGCAACCTTGTTGTTAAGAGCCTGTGCCCTTACCAGCTGACCCATCCTGCCATCTGTTGGCAGCTCAGTGGCAGCTCAGCTCGGGTGCAGCTCACTGTCCCATGTGGGAATCGAACTGGAGACCCTGTTGCTCAGAGCTTGTGCTCTAAACCAACTGAGCCACTCGGCCGGCCCAGGAAATGGGTTTTGACCATAGAGTGGGTTTTTCTTGTGGGATAGAGGAAAAGATTGATGGTGAAGAGGGCAGGGAAGCGATAGAGTACCTACCTGGATGTTGAAGCGAGACAAGCAGTGGTGGGGAGGAAGGGTGAGGTGAGGCAGGAGTTGTCTGCAGTGAGGGGGACGTGGTGGGAGGTCGGTAGATGACAACCGTAAGTTTCAAAGAAGCTGGTCTTCGCAAGGAGGAAAAGTGGACGTGAGAAGAGAGATTGCTTCTCCTTGCAGACCTCAGAGTAAGCAGGTTTATCTGGGGGAAGGCAGGAGTCCGCTATGATATAGCAGAGTTTATTAACCGCATATCTAGATTTCCAGAGAGCATGGTGAGAAGGTTGGGGCAGGGTGAAGACTGGGCCAGATGAGACGTGCGCTGGATGCCTCACGTGGACTCTCTTTCCTGCGAGTCTTTGCTTTCCACTTCGTGGTCTGTGTCTCCCCATAGCCTTCCTCATACAGGACAGTTTTAGATGGTGTATTTGGGTTGGAATGGGCTCTAAACATGAATAGTAAGTGAAAATTTTAGATTTTTTTATATTCCAAGGCAGTGTTTATAAGGGGAAAGTTGAACATGTTACATATGAAACCATCTTTTATTCAGCATTGATAGCACAATATGAAGTGTTCCATTCTGGAAAATACCTTGTATGGGTGACCTTCTAAGACCCAAAACAAGCTTCATTACAAATCAGATGAGTTAGTGGTTATGAATTTGCTTTGAAAAGTATAACCTGGTTTGATGGTTCTGGATCTGTTTAGATGACAAGGATCTTATTTTTAATAAGTTTTTTTTTTTTTTAGAAAGATCATTCTTATTCCCACATGACAGTTGTGTATTCAGTATCCATTGATTGAGAAAATAGTAAATGACAAGCTATTGTGAATTCAGAAATATGTAAACGAATTTTGGTTTTATCAATCATAGCAGCATTTCCACACACTTGAAAAATGTAGACATTTGTTCAGTCTCTATTTAGAGCAGGAAAGAAAATGGTCTTCAGAAAGTGGGATGTGCTGGACGGTTTCAGACTGTGTGCTTCCCCTGGGCCCCAGAGCTCATCGATGATTAGAGATCACTTCTGTGATGTAGGGGATAAAAGCGCAAGGCATTATTATTATCAGTTATAATTGCAGTACATAGGACCAGATGTTATGTTAGTGTTCATTTTAAATGCCGTTCTGCCTGTAGCAGGTAAATGTTTAAAACTGTTTTCCCGATGTACTTATTAAGCCTTTTCTCCCAGTCACTGTGGCTAAGGAAAAGTTTATTTAGAAACTAAATCCAGATGGTCTCCAACAACTTGTTAGTCATTTGAAGCTGTTAATGTAACTGTGCAGCCCTGAAATACACAACTGTTATTGCCGAAGCAATGTAATTCCAATCTGTTGGAGCGTACATTTTTGGAATGATACTTTTACCTGATAAATTATTGAATTTAATACCTCATAACCTTTCCTGAAGTACTCAGTACAGTGCTTTGAGGTGTGATGTGTTCAATTCAAAGAGCTACGCTTTATGAAGAGTGGTTAAAGCTTGCAGTTTTTCCACTTGCATTTCATGTTTAATTTTGGGGATGGGGGTAAATTTAGCAGTAACACTAATAGCTCTTGGTTTTGTGACTTCCTGGAATTACAGACAGAGAGTTTGTTTTATAACATTTTATGAATGGAATTTTATAGTCTTACTCAACTCATAATTCTGTTAACGTTTTCAGGGAGGATGATTAAATGAAATTACGTACATTGTGCCGATGTGGGATTAATCCCAGGCGGATCAGTGGCTAAAATAATTATCTTAGTACCTGACGTACATTGTTCATTTTAGCCTCAGAACTGTCAGATGAGCGAGGCCATTTTATAGGTGACCATCTGTGATTCATAGAGATTGACTTGTTGAAGGGCTCACAGCCAGTAAGCGAAACAGCTGTAATGTTGATCAGCAATGGCCTTTCAGCTGGGCCTCTCTGCATGTGGGATTTGAGTACATCTGTCAAGCCGTGGCTATGACAACAGGAGTGTAACAGCAGTTATGGGGAACACAGCCTGTAAAGCAAAGCCCAGTGATTCGCTCATTTTAGTATTGAGATCTCTTGAGTTTGTCTCCTACCTTGATAATTATAGTGATAGTGTATTTTCATACTAGTCATTTTGTTAATTTTTTTTCTAATACACAGATAAATCATAGGACTTTTCCTGTGCTGTGGATGTTTTCCCCTCTACATTTTTTTTTTTTGAAATCCCTGCATTCTTTTTTTTTTTGTAAAGATTTTATTGGGGAATTGGGGGAGGGGAACAGAGCTGGGGACTCGGGGGAAGGGGAACAGACGAGTTGCTGTCATTTTGTTCTTCAGTCTAGTTGTCAAGGATGTTGTTTCACTGGCCCATGTTGGTATTATCATTGTGCTCTTCCCGGGTTGCTGGTCTCTGGACGGCCGCTCACGGCGGCTGTTGGCAGCTCACACCAGCTGCCAGCCGCTCATGCTGGCTGCCAGCCACACATGGTAGCTTATGGCAGCCCACTGCAGCAGGGGCTGCAGCCTATGCTGTCGCCAGCGACTCACGGCAGCCCAGCTCCAGGTCGAGCTGTTGTTCACGATCTTAGCTGTAGAGGGCAGCGTCACTGGTCCCCATGTGGGATCTGAACCAGGGCCCTGCTGCTCAGAACTGGCGTCCCAAGCCAACTCTTAACCAACTAGCCACTCGGCCGGCCCTCCCTCTACATTTTTATTGTAGACATTTAAGGAAAGTATATAGAAAATGAAAACTACCCATAATCCCACTCCCTAGAGATAAATAATATATTGCCTATTTATTTGTAAATACGTAATCAGAGAGTTGATCATATTTTAAGTCATATCCTACTTTTTCGCTTGACATTTTCCCATATTATTAAAAAGTCTTAATTCATCATGTCAAATGATTATAAAACATTCGGCCATATGTTTATACCATAATTTATTTAATTATTTCCCTCTTATTGCATATTTAGGTTGTTTCTGCAGACTCATAGCTAGAGACATGAAGTTTAGATGCTTACTTTATGCTTAATTATTCTTGAATTTTTGGGTCAGAGAACATGGCTAGATTGTCTTCCTGTAATACTGTACTAATTGTCACTTTCATCAGCATAAGTGTGAGAATTCAGGCATCAATAGACCTTGAGTTGCATTGACCACAATCTTTTTTAACTATGCAGACATTTTCTTGTCTTAATTAACATTTCTTATATGATTTATAGGAACTTTTATTTGATAAGCTTAATAACCATTTCATTTCTTCTGAGTTGTCTTCATTTCCTTTACTCATTTTTCTGTTAGAATTAGTGATTTTCTTATCAGTTTGTATGAGAGTTCTTTCTATTACCAAGTAGTCTTTGTCAAGGCTTTCTTTTTTTTTTTTTTTTAAGGACTATCTAATAGCTATAAAACATAATTCTCAATCTGATTTTCTGGTGTCAGCTAGCCCATGTGGTTTTTTTTTTAAGACCAAGTATATGCTGACTGGTTATAAGTCTAAATAATTCAGTTTTTGGGTAACCTGCTTATTTTGAGTAATGTTAATAAATATGTTGTGTCTTTCCAGAGAGAAGAAAGGATGTAAATCGTTCGCTACCCAAACTTGAAGGCCAGAGGCGAGAAGGAAGGCCGGAGAACATGGCCTGGCCAAGTATTTTTCAGCGAGGAACGCTTCTCTCCCAGTTCAGCCATCATCATGTGGTCGTGTTCCTGCTCACCTTCTTCAGGTAAATGGATTGCTACAGCTGTTGGCGTCTTTCCCTTTTGAGGGAGACATTTACTGCAGGGCAGGTGCTTAACGCAGTGATTGGCATGGGCTTGTGAAGTAGACTAGTTATTCCTCTGCTATACTTTTTGATAGCTCGAAGACAGTTGCTTTTGGGGGCTAGTTTGCCCATATTTGGTAAAGTCTGGGGACATTTTTGGTTGTCATGCTGGAGGAAAGAGTGTTGCTGGCATCTAGTGGAGAGAGACCAGGCAGAGACCAGGGATGCTGCTGAACATCCTGCAGTGCACACGACAGCCCTCCACAATAGAGCATTTTGGAGCCCAAAGGATCAACAGTGCCATGGGTGAGAAGCCCTGATCTAATATGAAGTCTTTTCTTTGTGAAAACCAGGAGCTTGAGAACAGAGACTGTGCGTATTCAGGGAATGCCCGGTGCTTCCTTGAGCAGTAAAAATGGTGTGAGACGATTGTGGGGAACTCTGCTAATTTGCGTGAGATCCCAACCAATCAGCATGACTGAAGAATCGTCCATGCCTGTGATTCTGTGACCCTTGGTGGCTCACTTTAGTGGTCTATAGATGACATCAATCAGGCCTTTGGGCGTTAGGAGCATGTCATTAATAACCCTTTGCCTCAGTTATGTTGATTATTTCTTCTGAGTAGATTTTATTTATTAATCTTTATTGAAGGCATCACAAATGAGGATTTATTTATTTATTTATTTATTTATTTTTTCAGAAACTAGGAAAATGGTTCTCTAGTCACGTAAGAGTTAGTTGATGGGTAGTTTTGGATGCTTGGTTTGGGGGATATCCGTTTGTGAGGGGTGGTGGGAGGCATCACTATGAGGCAAAGACAGGATGCTGGGAAAAAGCAATTGAATGGCTAGCGCAGTGAGTGGCCAATGGCTGCTAAAGACTTAAAATGCTTTTCGTGACTTGAAGTGGGCTACGATCAGTGGCATCTCCATCTCCTGGGCCCAGGGGTAAGTTGTTAGTGAACATGGGTGCTCATATTAATGACTAGTTAATTTTTTCTTTTGCTTAGCAGAGACTGATTTAATTATTAGTCCTAATAAAGCAGTACTTTTCTCTTTTTTTAAAGAGAAGAATTCTAAAATTGAAGAAAACCATTGAGAATGTATCTGTGATTTTACTGAATGCTGTTTTCTTTGCTATTCACTCAGCTGTATTTCTTCTCTTTTGTAGTTATTCATTGCTCCATGCATCAAGAAAAACATTTAGCAATGTCAAAGTCAGTATCTCTAAGCAGTGGACCCCAAGTGCATTTAACAAAACACTTGAACCTGTAGAGGTAAGAAGAACAAAGTGCTGGGATCCGTTTAATAAGGAACTGTGCCCACCTCTAAATTCTTCAGTTCTTTTCTTTTATTTCGTTCACCTGCTTAGGGCTCTGCAATGGCTTACTGTTTCCTGTGGCACACAATGCAAACTCCTCTGCCTGATTTCTTAGCCTGTCCTCACTCAGTACCGTTCCAGCCAGCTTATTTCTCACTGTTTGAAATCACACAATTCTGGTGAGGCTACATTTTCATTGAGTTTCATTAAGTCCCCTGCTTACTTCTGCCTTGGAGATTTTTCCCTCATATTGTTTCGTATGCCCTTTACCATCTTTCCACCTGTCTAAATTGTGCTTTTCCATTTGGGTCAAGATAAAATGCCACTTTTTCTATCGAGTTTTTTCCTCAGCCTTTGCTGGTGGTTTTTCTTATTGAGCTCTGATACTATGTATTACATAGTTTAATGTCTCAGTATTTACATACTTTCTAATTGTTTCATTTGTATCTTGCTTAAATGGCTTGAAGTCAGAGAGTATGTATGAGTTTCTTCTATTCATGATGGGCCAAGTAAATACTTTGGTGCCTGGGACACAGATGCTATTCTCTGCAGTACCCTAGCTCAACACACACATCCACTCCACTCGATCTTTACCACATTGTTTGAGTTCTGCTTATGTGGGATTATAGCTGTATATTAATATTCTCAGCATGTTTTATTTCTTAAAAAATTATTTCCCTGATTTGGACCAATTTAAAGTTATAGAGATGTGAAGGTTTTGTGACCATCTCCCCAAAATGTAAATAAGTTATTCAATTGCTTATTGAGGGCCTGTCTCATATAAACACTGTTCTAGGCACTGAGGATACAAAAAATATATATAAAAATAAAAGCCTAGAGGATTGAAAAAAAAAGAGCCTGTCCTCATGGAGCTGATGTTCTAGTGGAGATGTTCCTGAACAATTTTTCTCAAATTGAAGTTATCAGGAAGCTTTAAAAGGAAGGATGTTAAAAATAGAGGGCTAGATTTTTGACGGAGCCTTGACTAGTGTCATGTGCGCAGTGAGTACATCTAAATGATTGTTAACTGACTCATCACAAACCTTTGAGATGGAGTGGCCGTAGAGAGGTTATGCACCCCAACCTCTTAGCCAGTATAGAATCTTTCTTTGCGGTTACTGAAAGGGGACCGCCCGGCTTCTGTTTCATACTAGTAGGGAGAGGAAACTTCCTATTTTCTGAGGTGGACAATTACAATACATTTTCTTCAGCTCTCATTATTAGGAAGTACTTTCTTCTATTGAAGTAAAAATGTGTTTAGTTTTGAGCCATGTATACGAAGTCTGCTCCTGCTGCATGACAGCCTGTTGAATGTTTGCAGAAAACCCATCTCCCTGAGTTTCTCTTGCTTAGTTAGGCAAAACACCCCTGGCTCCTTCAACTGTGGTTTATTGGCACTGAGCGCTAAATGTGGTATTTTAGATATAGTCTGACCAATGTACAGAACAATAGGCTTTGATTTAGGCACTACATTTCTGGTTATGCTGCCTAAGACTGCCTTTGTTTTTTAGGTAACTGGATTGGGGGTCCCCAATACCACCCCCTGGTTTGAGATTCACTAGGAGGACTGACAGGACTCAGCATATAGTCATACTCAAAGCTATGGTTTATTACAGTGAGAAGATATGGAGCCGAATCAGCAAAGGGAAAAGCACACAGGGTGAGGTCTGGAGGAATCCAGGCACAAGCGTCCAAGAGTCCTTTCCAGTAGAGTCACACAGGACGTGCCCAATTCTTCCAGTAACAATTGTGACAACACAGGAAAAGTTGTCTATCATGGAGGCCCATTAGAGACCTGGTGCTCATGGATTTTGGGGCTGGTCATGTAGTCACCCTCTGCCTGGCACATACAAAAAAAATCCCACACTCCCAGAAGGAAAGCAGGTATTCAGCATAAACCACATTGTTTGAACAGTTTAGGCACAGTGAGCCACTCTTCACAGGGAATCATGGGAACCCTTCTGAGATCCAAGATTCCAGATGGCAGCCTGGGACCAGCCTTGCAAGCAGGTCTTTTTAAGGACAGCAGCCTCAGGCTTCCGATGTTAACTCTTTCCTGCCAGGAACCGTGACACATTAGCTTGTTTCAAACTTGCATGAATTTTTCTGCTTAGATATTTATTTATTTGCTTATTCACTCTGCTACTAAAATAGGTTTCAACATTCTGTTTTTTTTTAATACTATGGATTAAGTAGTTTGGGTGGATTGGTTATGTAGAAGTTGGGTTCTTACTTACCCTGGAGAGCTGTGTATATGTGTACCTGTCCTCCTGGAGAGAGCAGTGCTCACTTCCCATTCTTTCTTTAGACTTTATTATTTTTTTTAAAAGATTTTTTTTATTGGGGAATTGGGGGATGGGAACAGCACTGGGGAATTGGGGGAAGGGGAACAGACAAATTGCTGTCCTTTTGTTCTTCAGTCTAGTTGTGGAGGACGTTGCTTCACTGGCCCAAGTTGGCACCATCATTG